GAACTGATGAAGGGTCTAGGCCCGAAACGTCAGCCTCTCTGCTCCTATGATGCTGCGTGGCCTGCTGTGTTCATCCAGCCCTGCACCTTGTTGTCTCGGATTCTCCAGCATCTGCAGTTCCTACTATAGCTGAAAAGTAGCATGTGTTGCTGGGGACCTCTGGTCAAGGCCAAAGATGTATCATCCACTCAACACTTCGAGCTGAAGATTGTTCAGGGAGAGTCAGACAGGATGGAAAAAGACCCTTCGGTCCAACCAGTCCATGCTGAACATTATCCCAAACTAAACTATTCCTACCTGCCTGCTCCTGATCTGTAACCCTCCAAACCTTTCCTATTCATGTACCTCTCCAAATGTCTTTCAAATGTTGTAATTGTACACACATTCACCACTTCCTCAGGAAGCTTATTCCACACATGAACCGTCCTCTGTGTAAAAAATTTGCCCCTCATTTCTTTTTTAAATCTCTCCTGTCACCTTGGAAATGTGCCCCCTAGTCTTGAAATCCCCCCATCCCATGGAAAAGCAACTACCATTAGCTCTATCTATTCCTCTCATTATTTTATAAACTTCTAGCAGGTTGCCCCTCCACCTCCTACACTCCAGTGAAAAAAGTCCCAGCCTATCTAAGGTTTCTTTGTAACTCAAACCTTCCATACCTGGCAACATCCTGGTAAGTCTCTTCTGAACTCTCTCCAGCTTAATAATATCCTTCCGATAACTGGATAACCAGAACTGGATACAGTATTCCAGAAGAGCCTCACCTGTGTCCTGAAAAACCTCAACATGACTTCCTAACTCCAATACTCAAAGGACTGAGCAGTGAAGGCAAATGTGCCAAACACCTTTTTAACCATGCTGCCTATATGTGACGCAAACTTCAAAGAATTATGTACCTGCACTCCAAGGCCCCTCTATTCTACAACATTACCATTAATTGTATAAATGCTTCAACATTGTATTTTGAACTATTGTGCTGGTCTCACCAATCATTGTGGATGACATTTCAATACCACCTTTGGAAGAACAACTATTGACGGTCAATCGATACGATCAATGTCAACAGCACACAAAGGGACAAAAAAAATTGCTGGTAAAAGGTATCATTGACAAACATTTGAGTAGGCTCATTCTATTTTCAGCCTTCTTTTCATTGTAACAATCACGTTTATTTTCGATTTGAATTTTTTTCCAGGGTACAGTTAATGACGGTGCAGTCGAGAGGGATCCCCGATACAACCCATCACAGATTAGTACACAACTTTGGAATGAGGACGAGTGGGCGATAGTTCTACGTGGTGGCGTAATTTGACGCCAGGGGACGACGCTCGGTTTGGGGGCGGGACGTCGGTTTGGATCGCGCGCAGGCGCAGTGCCGTTCGCAAGATAAAGGGCTTGGTTTCGGTGGTATTGCTGGAAAGGGCTTGAAAAGGCAAGTCGGGGCTGCCTGGAGTTTCCGTCTGCTCGGTGTTTTAGTCCCGTTCGCAGAGCGCTGGGAGACTGTAGCGCAGTTTGAGGGGCTGCCTGGTGGTTTTATTTCTTGTTAAATTACGGAGGTGTCGCTGCAGATTCCCTTCGCCGAACCGGGGCCGTTGTGGGAGAGTGGGCGCGGCCCACGTTACACCCCACCCCACAGCACAGGCGGGCTTCACAGGTCTTTACCTTTAAGGCCCTGAAGCCATGAGATTTGTTTTGCTCACTGTCACTTCCCTGGTGGTTGTTGATTTTTATGCGTGCGAGGAGAAGGGTTAGGGGCAATCTCTTATCGTCCTCTCCCATGCAAATTATGCCCTTATTTAGCAAAGACTTATTCTTGGGAGGCCGAATGGTAAACCTAACTGTAAAGTCACGGAAGTTCTGCTAGATTTTTTTATCTGTGCTCTGGAAGCTCTAGTGCTGCTTTGCTGGAGGTGCGTGCCCACAGGAAAGAGGACTTTTTTTTTAAAAAAAGTAAATAATTTAGGGGAAAACCTACTTGGGCTAGGTAGTCCTCGCCTATGAGTTGGAATAATAATTAGCTTGCGCACGTTTCCTCTCCTCTCGCCCACAACCCCCCCCCCCCCAATTAATGTGTAAACATGTACAATGCTTAAATGAATACTGTTGAAAATGTATACACGCCATCAATAAAGCAGATAACTCCAGAGTATGATGTTTATCTTGTGCTTTAGTTGAACCCGTCTAGCCTTTTCATCGATAACAAGATGTAGAGCTGGATGAACACAGCAGGCCAAGCAGCATCAGAGGAGCAGGAAGGCTGACGTTTCAGGCCTAGACCCTGTCTGTCATATCTTCCAGATTGTATTGATCATTTTCTGTAGAAAATCATCCTTGTGGCTGGTAGATTTTTTTCCCCTGTTTCAATTGTGCTTCCTGACAACTAATTTGACATGTTTATTGAGTTGTAACCAATTTCCCTGTTTATTCCACAATTGAATTTTTTTAATTGTGCTTCCTAATATCTAATTATTCATTCATGAACAATTTGGGTCACATCTTGTCAGTTTTGTAAACTTGATGAAAGTTACAAGGTCTGCTTCAATTTTTTTTAAAATCCAAGTTCTCTAACCTCTACTCGAGTTTGAATTCCTAATGCTTGGACCTGCATTTGTTCTCTGCTAAAAAAGACATTCATTGGTACTGATATTATTCCTAACTAATGTTGTTAAATGCCTTAAGCAATGCCATTCTTAAACTTTAGGCAGAACCTTTGTTTTGAGAACATCTGTAGCTCAGGTTGTGAATGAAGTATAGACATGCTCGCTGAGCTGGTGAGTTTGGTTGCAAATGTTTCATCACTGCACCTCTGGTGAAGCGCTGATGTTCTGTCCCGCTTGTTATTTGTATGCCTGTATTTGTTGGGGTGGTTGGTATTACTTCTGGGTTTGTTTCTGTGGTTTGTACACCGGGTCTAATTCATTGTTTTTGTTGATGGAGTTCTGGATGGAATACCAGGCTTCCAGGAATTCCCTGATGTGTCTCTGTTTGGCTTGTGCGATTATCGATGTGTTGTCCCAGTCAAATTAGTGTCCCTCATTGTCCGTGTGTAGTGAGACAAGTGAGAATTGGTTGTGTTTCTTGGTGGCTAGTTGGTGTTCATGTATCCGTGTAGTCAATTTTCTTCCAGTTTGGCTATGTAGTGTTTCTCACAGTCCTTGCATGTCCTATTTTGTTTACCCATACCCAAAAACAGCAAAACTGGGGTAATATACAAAATACCATGCAAGTACTGTGAGAAACACTACTTGGACTAAATTTGACCCAAATTGACTATACGGATAAATGAACACCATTAGCCACCAAAAGACACGACCAATTCTCATTTGTCTCGCGACACACGGACAATGAGGGACGCAAATTCGACTGGGACAACACGTCGATAATCGTACAAGCCAAACAGAGACACCAGGGAATTCCTGAAGGCCTGGCATTCCAATTGGACCTCCATCAACAAACACATTGAATTAGACCCTGTGTACAAACCACTGAGAAACAAAACCAGAAGTGATACCAATTACCCCAGGCATATAAATAACAAGTGGGACAGAACACTGACGCTTCACCGGAGACATACTGACAATGTTACCTAGCAGGATGATGAAATGTCTGCAGTCAAACGCACCGGTTCAGTTAGTATGTCTACGACCAGAAAGTTCTGCTCTACAATAAGTCATGTTTTTCCTCCTCTTGTATGTGATCCTCTGGTATGTGAAAGAAATTACCAACTGTTGCCAGTTTTGTTTCATGCAAACTGAAGAGAAGCTGCAGTTCTGAATTGTGTAGATCCTTGCAGGAAAAGACAGATGATCCCATCAGAATGGGCTGGATTTCAAGCCAAGTTATACCCAGTTGTTACACCAGTCTCCTAAGCTTCTATTGCCCTCATTGGGCTGAGAATTGAAAATAAAACCAGAACTCTGGAATTGGCATACTTGTATTCTTTCCTTCTGTCTTTTTCTGTCCTACACTTTTTCTTCCACCAGTGACAAGAGAAATCTTTTAGTCTAGGCAAAGATTAAGCGAGAGTATAAAACTGTATTACAAGTGGGCATCTATGAGAAAATATCAGCAATAGTGTATTTCTCATCCTCACCTTCTCCACCAGCCTGTACATTCAGCATGTTATTTGTTATCACTTTGGCCATCTCCCAACTTGATACTGTCACCGAGCATATCTTCCTCTTCATCACCATTACAGCGTTCTGAAAAGATTATTACCTCTGTGGCAGTCTAACCTACTCCTTAAATCATTCCCAACTCCCCCTTTCTTCTAGCACTTTCCTATGCAAACATAGGTGACGCAAATCTCCCCTTTATTTCCTCTTTTCAAAGTCCTTAAACAGCCCTTGCAAAACAATGAGATACTTATACTATCAATTTGGTATTCTGTATTGGGTCATAATACAGCTTCCTATACAATGAGAAGACCAAATATGATTGGATGACCAATATGCAGCATACCATTGTTATGTTGATCTCAATTTAGCACATGTGCCTGGATCAGGGCCTGAATCCTAACATTACTGTTTGGGTATAAAGAGGAGGTTTGCCTTTGTAACTCCATTGCTATTGCTCGTATCTATAGTATTGTTAATTGGCTATTACTCCTCATTGAATGACCTGAGGAAATCTAGCTATTTGCTACTGGTCTGGACATCAATAGTTTTCCTGTTAGCTTAGTTCAGACCTGGTGTATAGATCCCTGGTCTGCAGTGTCAGAAACGTAGTGACATCTTCCAACCCACCCGAACTGAAATCCCCACCCTAACTGGTTTCACATAGCTTGTTCAATGGGTCAAATAGATACTTTCTAAATAATCTCTTTAGAGATGTTATTGCACACATCTGGAGCAGGTGGAACTTGAATCCTGGTTTCCTGGTTCATAAATGGAGGTACAACCACTGCACCAGAAGCCCCACACAGAACTATATTTTTAATATTACCCTATCTTTCCAATCAACCTGTTTAGAGAAGTTATCACACACCTCTGGATCAGGTGGGACTTGAACCCGGGTCTCTCGGTTCAGGGGTGGGGACGCTACCACTGCAGTACGATTGCTGTAAGCCTACTACTTCTCCTATTCCTAATCACACTCCCATCCAATGCCTGAAACTGCTTAGCTTCCGCGATCAGACAAGATCCAGTGTTTTCTTACGAGTGTAGCTGTAGGCCACCCAAAAGAATAAGCCAAATAGTTGCATTGGCAGCACCTGATCAAAATGTGCAAATTAGACAAAGATTTTCTTAAATTGCACACGATGGTGCAAAATTGAAATGATACAATAAACAGGAGTTTCAACATTAATTATTGGTAAACATCTTGACGATCTTAGGGTTTTTCTGATTTGCTGAGCAATTCTACAGGAGGTTTCCTTTCCACGTAAATATGTAAGTATTTTGTGTCAATAGATACCAACACAAGTAAGTAAACAATTATTTTTTATATCATAACATCTCTCCACAAACAACTCAAGCTATAGATGTTTTCATTATCTTGATTGAGCTTTCCGCAAGATTTAAACCTCTGGACTTATGAGTTGAATTACTCAAAAGTTAATTGTCGGTGCTTGCTTTTGTTCGATTTTGTAGTCTTTGAGCAATGCATAAAAGCTCTTATGGTGCTTGGTAGTGATGCTACCTCTTAGCCATGAGGCCTTGGTTTGGCCCCACCTACTCCAGAGGAAAATATCTTTAAGTAACACATATCTGCACTTCAGCAGATGAATAACATTCTGCAGATTAGGGAGGAAATGCCAACATCATAGTGCATAAGAATTTGGGGTCAAAGAAATTAAGAATTTTGAAGAGGATTTGTTTTGCTGGAAAAGATTATGGAGTTAGGAACAGTTAGGAATGTATAGACAAAAATTAGCTTAAAATTTAATACACTGGAGGATTGAGAGCATTAGTGTGTATAGGGTTCATAGATCATCATAGAATCCCTACAGTGTGGAAACAGACTCTGCGGCTCAACAAGTCTGCACCGACCCATCCCCCTATAACCCACCTAATCTCCACATCTCTGAACACTACGGGTGGTTTAGCATAGCCAATCCACCTAGCCTGCACATCTTTGGACTGTGGGTGGAAACCGGAGCATCCAGAGGAAACCCATGCAGATGCAGGGAGAATGTGCAAACTCCACACAGTCACCCAGCAGTGGAATCGAACCTGGGTCCCTGGCGCTGTGAGGCAGCAGTGCTAACCACGGAGCCACCGTGCCACCCAAAATGATGGACGGGTAGGATAATTTGTGCAATAGAATGTGAGAAACGGTTTTGAAGAGCTGAAATTTACAAAGATGGAGACTAGCCAGGTTAGTACTTGAACAGGAGGCTGATGTGTGGCTGATGGCACTTGTCCTGGAGAAAGTAGGTCAGCTAAGGACCTTAATACATTGTTGAACGTGCACCAACTGGATTCAACTTGAGAAAGTGCCTGAGGAGGAAGATAAAATTTACAGTGGATGATAAAAATGATAGCTTCAATCATTCCACGAGCGAGCAGAATGTTAGACAATTTATCCAATAATATACCCACACTGTTGGTGTCATTCTGCATTGCAAACTCGCCATTCAGCCAATTGAGTTAAGGAGAGTAGTGTGAAAGGCTGCAGGTTGGTGGTGGCGGGTAGTGCACTATCATCAAGAATATTGGTCGTGACTTTTACTGGGCCAATTTGATGCTATATGAGTGATGGAAACCTGATTCTGTTCTGTTTAAAGGATCCAAACTTTGATAGTGATTCCAGATTTACTCACTGGAATGTTGGGGGGTGGTAATCTTTCTTGTAGAATGTTTGCTAATTTAAAATATCAAATAGTACCTAATTATTTTGCCACATGACTTGCTGCTTTCCACTGCCTTACCCAGGCAAATATGGTTTTTTTTATCCCCATTCCCAACATTTTAACATTTTTTGTTAATCAAAAGGTGTTTGAAGAAAATTTCTCTTGTGTTCTTCTGGGTTATTCACGTCATTGCCTCAGATTTTAAACTGCAGACTTGGATAATCCCTGGAATTTATTTAATATAGCCTCATGAAAACATCACTTTAGCAGGGCAAAAAGAAAATCAGAGGTAGTAAGTTGGGCTGTCAGCCCCTGGACTCAGCTGCACTTAGTACATGAGCAATTTTGGACCACAGATTTTGTGAAAAATTGTCTCGAGTTGATCTCTGCTACTACTAGAATTTTCAATTCTAATTGTTACTGTTATAAAGCAAATTAAAAAAGTCCGAGTGGGGCTAAACTGCGATATCTTATTGGGACACAATATGGTTCATTTTTATTTCATGAGGGCATGTACTACTAGGCATCGTACATAAGCGTATATTGATAGTCCCTTGTCATGCTCTTTCCTATCGGTATAAATAGTCACTGAGAAATCTAAGAGGGAATTCAGAAGAAACAGTGTAATAATGTCAAATTTTACTACAATGGTCAGTGGTTGTAGCAAAAGATATACCTATATTTAAAGAGAAGCAGAGCATGGAGACATGGATAGAGCAGGGACAGGAATGGTTGTTGCAGGTTCCGGGATTTAGATGTTTCAATAAGATCAGGGAAGGTGGTAAAAGAGGGGGAGGTGTGGCATTGTTAGTCAAGGACAGTATTACGGTGGCAGAAAGGACGTTTGATGACAACTCGTCTACTGAGGTAGTATGGGCTGAGGTTAGAACCAGGAAAGGAGAGGTCACCCTGTTGGGAGTTTTCTATAGGCCTCCGAAAAGTTCCAGAGATGTAGAGGAAAAGATTGCAAAGGTGATTCTGGATAGGAGCGAAAGTAACAGGGTAGTTGTTATGGGGGACTTTAACTTTCCAAATATTGACTGGAAACGCTATAGTTCGAGTACTTCAGATGGGTCAGTTTTTGTCCAATGTGTGCAGGAGGGTTTCCTGACACAGTATGTAGATAGGCCAACAAGAGGCGAGGCCACATTGGATTTGGTACTGGGTAATGAACCAGGCCAGGTGTTAGATTTGGAGGTAGGTGAGCACTTTGGTGATAGTGACCACAGTTCGGTTATGTTTACTTTAGCGATGGAAAGGGATCGGTATATACCGCAGGGCAAGAGTTATAGCTAGAGGAAAGGCAATTATGAGGCGATGAGGCAAGATTTAGGATGCATAGGATGGAGAAGGAAACTGCAGGGGCTGGGCACAATTGAAATGTGGAGCTTGTTCAAGGAACAGCTACTGCGTGTCCTTGAGAAGTATGTACCTGTCAGGCAGGGAGGAAGTGGTCGAGCGAGGGAACCGTGGTTTACGAAAGAAGTTGAATCTCTTGTCAAGAGGAAGAAGGAGGCTTACGTAGAGATGAGGCGTGAAGGCTCAGTGAGGGCACTTGAGAGTTACAAGTTAGCCAGGAAGGACCTAAAGAGAGAGCTAAGAAGAGCCAGGAGGGGACATGAGAAGTCTTCAGCAGGTAGGATCAAGGAAAACCCTAAAGCTTTCTATAGGTATGTCAGGAATAAAAGAATGACTAGAGTAAGATTGGGGCCGGTCAAGGACAGTAGTGGGAAGTTGTGCGTGGAGTCCGAAGAGATAGGAGAGGTGCTAAATGAATATTTTTCGTCAGTATTCACACAGGAAAAAGACAATGTAGTCGAGGAGAATACTGAGATACAGTCTATTAGACTGGACGGGATTGAGGTTCATAAGGAGGAGGTGTTAGCAATTCTGGAAGGTGTGAAAATAGATAGGTCCCCTGGGCCGGATGGGATTTATCCTAGGATTCTCTGGGAAGCGAGAGAGGAGATTGCAGAGCCTTTGGCTTTGATCTTTATGTCGTCATTGTCTTCAGGAATAGTGCCAGAAGACTGGAGACTAGCAAATGTTGTCCCCTTGTTCAAGAAGGGGAGTAGAGACAACCCTGGTAATTATAGACCAGTGAGCCTTACTTCGGTTGTGGGTAAAGTGTTGGAAAGGATTATAAGAGATAGGATTTATAATCATCTAGAAAGGAATAATTTGATTAGGGATTGTCAACACGGTTTTGTGAAGGGTAGGTCATGCCTCACAAACCTTATTGAGTTCTTTGAGAAGGTGACCAAACAGGTGGATGAGGGTAAAGCGGTTGATGTGGTGTATATGGATTTCAGTAAAGCGTTTGATAAGGTTCCCCATGGTAGGCTATTGCAGAAAATACAGAGGCATGGGATTGAGGGTGATATAGCAGTTTGGATCAGAAATTGGCTAGCTGTAAGAAGACAGAGGGTGGTGGTTGATGGGAAATGTTCATCCTGGAGTTCAGTTACTAGTGGTGTACCTCAAGGATCTGTTTTGGGGCCACTGCTGTTTGTCATTTTTATAAATGACCTGGATGAGGGCGTAGAAGGATGGGTTAGTAAATTTGCAGATGACACCAAAGTCGGTGGAGTTGTGGATAGTGCGGAAGGATGTTGCAGGTTAGAGAGGGACATAGACAAGCTGCAGAGCTGGGCTGAGAGGTGGCAAATGGAGTTTAATGCAGAAAAGTGTGAGGTGATTCACTTTGGAAGGAGTAACAGGAATACAGAGTACTGGGCTAATGGTAAGATTCTTGGTAGTGTGGATGAGCAGAAAGATCTTGGTGTCCATGTGCATAGATCACTGAAAGTTGCCACCCAGGTTGATAGCGTTGTTAAGAAGGCGTACAGTATGTTAGGTTTTATTGGTAGAGGGATTGAGTTTCGGAGCCATGAAGTCATGTTGCAGCTGTATAAAACTCTGGTGCGGCCGCACTTGGAGTATTGCGTACAGTTCTGGTCACTGCATTATAGGAAGGATGTGGAAGAATTGGAAAGGGTGCAGAGGAGATTTACCAGGATGTTGCCTGGTATGGAGGGAAGGTCTTATGAGGAAAGGCTGAGGGTCTTGAGGCTGTTTTTGTTAGAGAGAAGAAGGTTAAGAGGTGACTTGATAGAGACATACAAGACGATCAGAGGATTAGATAGGGTGGACAGTGGGAGCCTTTTTCCTCAGATGGTGATGGCTAGCACGAGGGGACATAGCTTTAAATTGAGGGGTGATAGATATAGGACAGATGTCAGAGGTAGGTTCTTTACTCGGAGAGTAGTAAGGGCGTGGAATGCCCTGCCTGCAAAAATAGTAGACTCGCCAACTTTAAGGGCATTTAAATGGTCTTTGGATAAGCATATGCATGATAATGGAATAGTTTAGGTTAGATGGGCTTCAGATTGGTTTCACAGGTCATCGCAACATCGAGGGCCGAAGGGCCTGTACTGTGCTGTAATGTTCTATGTTCTATGTTCAAGCATGTAAGGGAGAAGGAAGGGCCCGTGTGGTGCAGTGGTAGTGTTCCTTTCTTTGAGCCAGAGGCCTGGGTTCAAGTCTCACCTGCTCCAGAGGTACATCATAACATATCTAAACAGCATGATTTAAAACTGTCTGAGGGAAAATGGAGAAGAGTGTTAGAACGGTGTCCTGAGAAGAGGAAAAATGGGAGGAGAATCAAGTAGTGCATTAAAAACTTGTCTGAAGCAAGTAATAAAGGCCATTTTGAAAACTCTGAAGATCTCTGTTTGATTAAGCTGATGGCTCATTTCTATAGCAAATGTTTTAAGTAGTTGCATCTGATCCTTTGCATTAGGATTTAGCCTTATTACTTCTACAAACTTTCTGAAAGTGGGAGACAGCAATATTTTTGCCCCTGTCTGGAAGAAATATATGCAAAAGCTGATGAACAGGTTTCACTGACACCTGCTACACATATAGGACCCAGCCCAAGGAAGATCTGATTAGTTTTTGGTGAAGATCGAGATCAAGATACCAACAATTGACACTTCTTAGAATGTTGCTGATCATGTTAGAATGTTATGGATTGTCTCAGCTGCTCTGATGCAAATTTGTCGTGGGTGTCAAAATGTGAAGAGTGTTTTCAGAGCAGCTGGTTGGATGTAGATTGTTGTGAAGCCTTTCTGATGAAAGCCCTCAATTTGTTTAGATTTATGTTACAGAGCATTAACCAGATAGGGAAAAGCCTCAAGAAATAGCTATGTCAATGTAATATCATCGCATGGCAGAGGTATACACTCTACTGAATGTCCTCATCAACTGTTTGAAAATGTCATCCAATGAACAACTTCGAAATAAAATGGAAATAGGTATTGCAATCAATTATTAAGTCATACTTTAAATGAAGAACTGATTCTAATATATGTTGTGCTATTGTGGTTTCTCCTGGTAGGTGTCATCAAGTAAAATGACTTTGCAGTGGGTTGCTGTTGCATCTTTCTTGTATGCAGAAATAGGCTTCGTTTTGTTTCTGTGTTTACCGTTCATCTCCCCTCGAAGGTAGGTTTGCCAAACAAGATTGATTATGATGTTAAACTAAGTGGGATCTGTTCTCACGCACATGCATGTTGTCCAAATTATGAGAGCTGTGGGATGTAAATATATGACAAAAGTCATGATCTTAGAGACCAAAAACATTTTTAAAAACACTTCTAATTAAGAGCTGAAAGAATGAATCATCAAGAATTCACATTTTAAGTCTTCTACTGTGACAAACAGACTACAGGCACTATTGACTAAATTTTTTTATGGAGGTAAGTTAACATTTAAACCATAGCATAGAACATTTGAATTTTACAGTTATCACAATTGAAAAGAACCCACTTCAGAAGAATGCAATTCACATTCTTTAAGTGGACATTCAGTTCTCCCAGCAAGACTAAAGTGATTCTTCTCTCCCAAGGGTTTGCTTCCATTCTTTTCTTTTTATAACCTAGTAAATTATAACCACAGAAGTTACCTTCACAGTAGGGATTTTCTGGGAGATTATGTCTCCAGCACAAGCTAAACAAACCTTGCAGCCTCAGTTTAAATCCTTATGAATTTGGTCTTTTTAATCCAAGTACAAGCTCCCAAATGCATTCCTTTGCAGTGAACCACAGAGAATTTCTAGGTCTAGCTGCTCTTTCTCCAAGGTTCTGGCAGACTGCCTCTGCCGGAGAGTTTGGGGATTTATTAGAAACTCTCCTCCATTCAAAGCCTATCCCTATGGTACCATGAATCATATGAACCTTGTATCCAGAAAGAAATACTGCTCCACTATTCTTGAAAGTCTTGAAAGTAAATAAAGAGCATAAAACATAGTTGTTTACAACTTGTCATTCTTAACCTTGCTTGGACATTGGAGGCTATCGTTCTAACCAGTGTAAAACATAGATGATGCTGCCATTATAGCCATTTGTGAGCATTGTACATCGTCTGCCCTGCAAACAATCTGGGTGTTCCTGTAACTTTAATAGGCCCCTCTCCAGGCCTATTGGCAGACAGACTTCAGAAATGGTCGTGTGGTTCCCTTTCTTTACAATCCTAAATTACACAGTCCCAAAACATAAGAATCCTTTAACTCTCATAATTGTAACAATTTTCAGCTGTGAATTTAGTTTCCAGGAAATGCGTTGGATTAACTTTTCTTTTATTACTGCCTTTCTAAGTAAAATCTGCCCTTCAAACACAGTTGTATGGTACAGACATATTATCTACTGTCATGGAATCTTGATTAGCCTATACCTGTGATGATGTCAGATTGATCAGTGAGCCAGGTACAGATGATGAAATATTAGCTCTTAGATAGTAACCCCAACCAACCTCAAAATCTGACATCTACTTCTAAATGAGTAGAAAATTCCTTATACTTAATTTTGGGAGGACTAAACCAATTGTCTTTAATAACTGCCAAAAACACCATTCTGTAGCCATCTATCTGGCAACAGCTTTATCCCTGTATTCAACCACAGGTTTAACCAGCCTGTTTGCAACTTGGTGCTATATTTGCTATATGTGAACAAGCAACCAGTCAACAGCTTCATCGTCAAGACTGCCTACTTTGATCTTCATAATGTTGCCCTACTCTGTCCCTGCTTTAGCCCACCTATTGGTGAACTCTCATTAATGCTTTTGTTATCTCTCAATTTGTTTTATGCTGTTCTAGCTGGCCACCTATCTTCCACCCCACGTAACCTCAATCTTATCCAAATTCTGCTTCACATCTCCTAACTTTCACTTAGTTAATTCACCTGTCACCCCTGTTCCCTGATCTATGTTGTTTTAAGATCCAGCAAAGCCTTGATTTAACATTTTTATCGACATGTTAAATTCCGCCTTAGTTGTAACTTCCTCCTACCCTCAAAACCATTGAGATTTCTGAGTCCTTCCAATTATGATCTCATGCACTTTCTGACTTTTTATGCAACCACTGTTGACACCTGTATCTGTGGCTGTCTCTGTACTCTTTGTTCTCTACTTTTAAGACACTCCTTACAACCTACCTCTTTGACCAAGTCGTTGGTGACCTGTCCTGATATCTCGTTGTGATTCAGTGTCAAATCTGTCAAAATAATCAACTTGAACAGCCACTTAATTCCATGCAAAAGCTCATAAATCATGTAAAGGGAAACAAGCGGACTGGACAATTGTATAAACAACCCCTACTGAGCAGAATCTATTGGGAGTATGCAAACAAATTTACATTTCTTGAACAACTATGTAACAACACTGCTCTGAACTGTATCTGTTAGAACCTTTTGAAGACAGTCAGAAGCTTGGACAGAAGCTTTGAAATAGCCACATGATTGAACTGTTTTTTGAGGAAAAATTATAAACAAAGGGGACATTTCACATAGTAGCCTCAATTTCAAACTGGACAATATTTTATCCAGTTCAAAAATCTATCCTAATGCATCCAATGACTTCCATTTTGACAATGCTATTTTTCTGCTGTTTACAGGAAATCCCTGACTCAGGTTCTGCCCACTATTTTTAAAGCCCACTTAATGCCCTTGAGACAAGCTTTGGACTGGGCAAGTCTGACCCAGTCTCCAAATTATAGAAATAATATAAAGGCACTTGAGAAGGTGCAAAAATAATTTGCAGTGATGATGACAGAATTGAATAACCCACAATAAATAATTAACAATATGGGCTCTATTCTCTGGAAGAGGTGAGTTGAAGGGTAATACAATGAAGGCCTTTTAAAATTATGAAGTAGGTTGATAGAATCAACTTCATAAATCCCTTTTTGAGAAATCTAGAACTGGTAGTTAACAAAATATGAGATAGTCATTAATAAATCTTATATGTAATTCAGGATACACTTTTCCCAGAAAGTGGTTAAATTTGGAACTTGCTGGTACACAGACTGATTGAAATGAATGGCATAGAGCCAAATCAATACATGAAGGACAAAGTAACAGGTCGATGTCCTGATATGGTAGGAAGTGGTTCATTTATGTTAAATGATTTCTTTCAATCCTGTAAATTCTATATAACAAACACATTTTTAATGATGTCTCCTCGTTTCTTTGGTGATGATCTTAAATTTAAATTCTGATTTGTGGTTGTGTTTCAGATGGTTAAAAGTTTTCAATTTCCGTTTATGGGAGAAAATTGCTTCTTACTGGAATAGAGCATTTCTCACTATAATTATAGTGTTGGTTGTCTTGTTTTTTGGTAAGTAGAGTTTTCCACAAAGACATGCACATTTTCTCAGGATATTTTTAAAGCAATTATAAGCTGGATCTGTGCTAAAGCAAAATATTTTAGATGTTCTTTTTAAGATCTGGCTTGATCCTACCTTTCTTATGGACGATTGGAACCACATTTAACATTTACATTTCTTTTCCTATTAATTTACATGTATCAAGATGGCTTTTACTAACAGATCGATTTTGGTTTTCTGGTTCAAGATTTAGCCACCATTGAGCCAGCAGCACTAAAATTGAATCTCTAACCAAAAATACTCAAACAAAGAAAACCAGCAATAAGAAATATATGTGCAAGAAGGATTTACTTGCCTCAGCCAGGGGTTCCATCTGCAAGTTAAGGATCTGAGTACTGGGTTTGAGCATATTATGAAAAATCCATTAACACAAGGGTATTATAGGGACATTGGGGTAGTGGAGTACATGAATGCTCGACAACCTTTATGCTCTTGGAAATAAGGAGGAATACAAAAAATGAGTATGGATGTAATAATTTTATTTACTCATTTCGGACAGAAATGAGAAATTTCTCCATTTAAGAGAGTTATGGATCTTTGTAATGTTTTGTATAATCCACACACACACACACAT